AATTTAGTCAGCTTTTCCATTTGCTTCCCTCTCTCCTGATTGCTTCCCTCTCCTTTGAATGAACCCTGTTTATTCTTCATTTATATTTCATGTTGTAGATTCTTCTTATACATGTCCAGCTTCTTCCCCATATTTGCTTGGAATGAACAGTCTCAGGTAGCACATCTTTCTGAAACATTTTGAAATTGGGAAATGCTGACTAAGGACTTCATTCCATGAAAGAGGGGGGAGGAAGCATCATCTTACCATGGTGTTTTGCCCAGTTCCAATTCAAATCATATCATTTCTCAGATCCCATCACCATGTGAACTTATGTTTACTAGCAAGTTCTGGAATGTCCTGAATGCATAGGGCTTTCCCAAGTTATCCCAAGATGACATTAAACTGGACAGGTCATACTTTACCAGAAATGTGGCTGCACAAAACAAATAACTATTTGCATGTCCAAAGCAATACACTGAACTCCAAACTCACATATAAACCACTGAATCTGGGAACTATGACAGCTTCAAGACTAAGGCAGAAAGAATAAAATGCACAAAAATGAGCTGGACAACACCTGGTTTGAAAACGGTACATGTGAAAAGAGTCTAGGGGTCTTAGTAAACCTCATGTAAAGCATGAGTCAGTGGTGTGAGTGTGGAGTGGTAACTGAAACAACTAAAATGATTTCAGCTGCATTAACAGGGTATGGTGTCTAGATCAAGGAAAGTATTTGTGTAACTCTTTGATCAGACCTCACCTGTTATACTGTGTCCAGTTGTGTCCACTACAGTTTAAGAAGGACAATGACAAGCAGATACATGCCCAGAATAATAAGTTCTGGAAAACCAAGCCTTATGATGAGTATGTCTAGATTGAAGAAGAGAAGACTAAGATGTGACATGATCATTATCTTTAAATACCTAAAAGATGGAACGAGGCTGTTTTCTGCTCCTCCAGAGAAAAGAAATAAAATCAATGGCTTCACATACAAAAAAAATCCACCTAAACATTATGAAAAATGGAATAGACAAAATGGGAAGCATTCCTTCCTTGGGATTTTATAAGCAGAGGCTTGATGGGCATCTTTCAGGAGTGCTTTTTTGTGTATTCCTGCAGTGCATTTGACTAGATGACTATTGTGGCTCAAAGCCTAAGATTCTGTGACTCTAAAAACTTATGTGCTAGACTACCTTTCTTTATTTATTGATTGTTATGTATGACTGCACAACATAGCGAAATTTGCCAAAGAAGAAAGCCAGCATATCATAGGAGTCAGTGCATCACACTAAAGCAGATGAGACATCTGGGTTCAAATCCTGTCAAAAAATGGCTCACTATCACTTGGTCAAAGTGATAGGAGGGCAATGCATGTTACGCTTAAGTCTCGAAGTAGGATGAGACAGTATTATCATCATTGCAGTATGCAGTTCCTAGTACGAATGCTAGTACCAAACAGCAGCTTTCAAATGAAAATAACAAAAACATCAAGCACACTACTCCCACATCACTTAATTTTGCTTGAAATCCCTTGATTTCTCAACACATGATATGTGATAGCTTGCCTATTTATTAGTTTGTTTAAATATTAATCTCTTATCCTATAACCGAGGATGTCATGGCAAGGTACAGGCAATGAAACAACATTAAACAATCTAAAACATTATGTGTTTTATAAATATGTGAGCTGACCTCAATGAAATCGATTGTATTTGAGAGCCAACTCATGCATTATCACTAATGGCCATTGGAAGATAGCAGCTTCCTCCCATATTACAACAGAACCAATTAGTTTTTGGCATCAAGCACCATTTTTTTCAGCTCCTGTATCAAATGCTAGTATGCTATAGTGGGAAGTATACATCATGGGAAAATGCCTCCCTTGTTAATCCTTGTTAGTGCTAGTAGTGTATGGCTCCAATCTAATCAAGCTAAAATGTTTATGGCTATTAGCCATAGGTCATTGCAAACAAAAAATACAATAAGACACAATGCAATTTAAAAAGACTATCAATCCACATTATATATAAATATCACAAACCAAATTATTATTATTTTTAAAAAAACCAATGTCATTTAATGGAATTTTCTAGGGTGAACCTGTACTAATCAACAGATATGACTAACATTTTCCCCAGTGATCTTTAACTTGCAATTACTGATTCATATGCAATTCACTAACTGTAGTAAGCATGCATATGTGAATCAGTGTATTTGTGAATGGACAGAGTGTCACCCCAAAGGGTTAAGATACCCAGCAATTCTATGCAACCCAGAGCATAACGGTGACCTATATCTCAGCACCTCAATGCATAGCAGACTTGGAAGGGCATCTAATTAAGATGACACCATCCGACTGTTGGGAAACCCACTTAATTGTTTTGTCCAATTTGCATTCTGCTTGGTGGCTTTCATGACACACTGCAAATCCTTTTGTGGATTAGATCAGATTAACATTAAGAGTTCTAATCTGTGATTAATTGGTTAATCTTACTAATTTCAAGACTTAATGCTTTCTGCCTGTTTATAGGAATCATCACACATAATTGTTACTTGCTTTCCATTACAAAATGACACTTTTAGGTGGAGGATGTTTTGGCATCAGCAACACTTGCTCCTATCCACATAGGTGCTGCAGATTATGTAGGGAGTGTGCTAATCCATGGGGTAATCTCTACTAACTCCCAAATATATCAAATGAATGGCAGAGTCAACATGCAAGGCAGAGTTGGCATTGAGTAAGGCTCCTGTATGCACGTTTAACTCCTTTTTCCCATTGTTGTTTTTTTTATCATGCAAACAGCCACCCTACAAATGTTGCTTGCCCCTCTCATTAACTGTTACTTTTCCTCATTGGTTTATTTATACTTTACCGTTTCCCCAAAACTGGAACTCAGGGCAGTATGTGAGATAAAAGTGGAACCAGTAAAAATCTATGAAGGCAAAAAGCTTCCTTTTAAAAAGTATACTTAAAGCATTCAACTGTCTAGTCCAGACATGGGCAAACTCGGGCCCTCCAGTTCCTAATAGCCAGCAAGATAGCTGATATTTCTGGGAGTTGAAGTCCAAAACATCTGGAGAGTCGAAACTGGCCCATGCCTGGTCTAGTATCATTCCAAATCCTTACTGGGCTAAAAAGGAAGCAACCTTCTCATTAAAAATGGCACAGAAAAGTTGATTTTCAATAAATATTCAGTTGGGAAATGCAAAATCTCTTAGCTCTGTTATAGTGCTGCCAGAACAGTCACTGAGTGTGCATCTACAATGCAGAATGGAAGTAATTAAACATTATTTTAACAGCCATGGATCAATGCTAAGAAATCCCAGAGTTGTAGTCCAGTGAGGCACCAGCACTCTTTGGCAGAAAAGGCTAAAGACCTTGTAAGAATATTATACTATATGATTCCATATCAATGGACCATGTCAGTTAAAGTAATGTCAAACTATATTAATTTTACAGTGTATATACACCCTGCGTTCATTTTAACTGTTGGAAGCCACCTTGCATTCTAAACTGGGAAGGCTATAAATCAATATAAGACATATAAGAAAAACAAGTAACTATTAAGGGTGATGATATCTACATGCATTAAGCCTTTAAACTGGTTAGATTAACTGATTAAGGCATAGTATGAAGTCCCACCAGGTGGTACTTTCCTTCCCAAATCCACCTTTCAGCCATTGCCTCTGTCAAGAACAATCACTTAATGGCAGCTGTAGCACACGTAGTAGTAGAGAAATATTCAGCTATATCTCAACAGCTAAATACACAGTGCTCCATCTTCCTTTACCAGGATCGGTTGACTATTAAAGGTACAGAAGCCCTGTCCTGTAGTCAAGGCAATCCTATTCTGTTAATTGATTGGTTTTAATTATGAGTTCCTGTCCCTAGATAGGACTGAACAATAATGGATATGACAACAAATCCATGCAAAATGCTGTCATGCACACTAGACATGGAGCCCTCAGTGGCACAATGGGTTAAACCCTTGTGCTGGAAGGACTACTGCGGTTCAAATCCAGAGAGCAAGGTGAGCTCCCATCTGTCAGCTCCAGCTTCCCATGCAGGGACCTGAGAGAATCCTCCCATAGGATGGGCAAGATCCTTGCACACAGCCAATATTCTCTCACATTTTTTTCCTGACATGAAAAAATGCTCATTAGGCTTCTACGCCACCTAAAAGTATTTGTAGAACAATAGTAAATACACCATCTTTCCTTTGTGGAAAGGCAGGCAAGGAGTAAAATATTAACACAGCTAAAGGTGACCTTCTGAAGATTTGTTTGTTTCGTGAGCTACTATTAATTAAGCTCTGTCTCTCTTGTACTCCTTCAACTCAAGCACAATTTCCGTTTTATTTTGTTTTACTTCCTCCCCTAACTTCCTTCTGGTTTGCGACTGCACTGAAGTGGCTGAGTTTTACAGGTAGGATGGGTCAAAAGAGGTGAAGGCTGTCCAATTTATGGATCAGTCAGCATGAGCTAGACCCAACTAGTCTCTCCCAAGCTATTATACAACTATGAGGTCAAGAGCATAATGGGTGAGGCCCTGGCGGGGTAGCCACAAAAGACATGCTGTACACTGATCTCCTGAGCAGGCAGCTGACAAACTATCTTTCTGGAAAGAAATCAAAGCTGTTCATGAACAGGATCATTAATGAAGAAAAGCCACCTTGAGTTTTCTTTGTAAAATGGAAAACAAAGCGAAGGAACTTTCCTGCAAGAGAATCCTGCTAAAGAAGGCTGGGAATTGTTTACTCTAGCTCCACCTTATTAAAGATTTGCTCATGTAGGCAAGCCGGCTCTGTGGCACCGTGAAAGAGAACATCTTGATTCACAAAACAATCACATCCCTGTGGCCCAGCCGGTCAGATTTCGCCCCAGTTACTGCACTTGTTTCACTGTCTCCTGCCCTCGTTTCCAGTTAGAAAAACAATCCGTTCAAGTAGTGGAATGCAAACTGAAGACAGCACAATCCCTTTGTATGTAAACATATTTTTGAAAGGAAAAGTAATTACCTGGAGTAGTCACCTTTGGCTTCCTACAAGTGGGGAGAAATTCATGACATTAAAATACTATTTCTTTAAGTTTAAATCTTCCATCAGTAACAGGATTGTTAAGAACAACCCAACCCACATTACTCACAAAGCTCTGGTTGTGCATGCATGTTAAAAGGATTTCATTAGTTTTACCAAGCTATTAAAATTCTTTGTTCTTGGAAAAGAACCAGGTAGCCCATCCTTGGTATTCTCAGTTATAGCGTGCCAGAAGCCAAAGAAAGGCCAGCCCTACCTAAGTCTGGCTTGAATCAAAACAATACAAAAGTTCAAAATGTCAAAGCCCATTATCAGTCTGTTGCTGAATTTAGTCAATGAAAATCAAAGTCTCTTGTTAAGGAAATGTAAAAATGGGGCAAAATGCAAACAGTGGCAAGGGCTGCAATTTGAGAAACCAACAATGATTTTTTTTTTAAAAAAAAAGTGGAATTGATTCTCAGTGCCAAGGATTTAAAAATAGTGTTTTGAAAATCAAATTGCAATGCATTTTTGGGAACTGAAGAAGTTTGAAGCTTCCACAGTTCAACAGCATCTCACTCTCCATTTCTTCCAGTATTAGATATTATTTGCATAATGGGAAAAACATATAATTACTTTAGAAACATGAGGCAACAATAACATTAATTCAAACTCTATCCAACTCCTGGCCCTACCCGAAATGCATTTGACATCACACTCCTCTTACTCACGTGCATACATCTTTACTTGGACTTTGTAGAGTAGCAGATTTGCAACATTTGAACCATGCATTCATAGTATATATTTGTAAAATGGATATATTTATAACATCAAATAGATGCAAACAACTACTGAAGCACCAGAAAGGTTTGTAAACAATGGGCATTTTAGAAAACATCTTGCAAATTACAAGAAAACACACTGCGATTTGGGAGAAATCTTACCTGTAAAATCAAAGCGGCTAATCTGAAGACCGTCTCACTTTCCACCTCAATATGCCCCTGTTCAAATAAAGGGAAAATGTTAAGTTGGCACTTCAAGGTCTGCTGCACTGGGATCAATCCCTCCCCCCCTTTCACCCCTGCTGAATCTGGTAGTCTGTCACTGGTCAGCACACTGGTTTTCCTTCAATTGCAGATCATACCATTACTGAAAAAGGGTGGATGTAATTTGAGCTGCAAAGCTGGATTTAACAGGACTTAACATGGATAACTAGAAAAATCACACTGCAAAAAAAGTACAGTGCACCAAGAAAGGGGGAAACCAGACCTGAGGGTTGCTTGCAATCTTTGACGAATCACAACTTCCCCTTGTAAATGTAGCACATTTGCACCCTACAGGTTCCCAAGCTTTGGTTGGCTGTGCTGGCTGGATTGAATTCTCTGCCAACACACTTCGGTCAATGCAGACTGCTGAGTTTTAAGTAAACACACACACTCATACACACACACATAGTGAAATGTGATGCAGGTTGATTTAGAAGTGAATCTCCAACTGTGCTCAATGGAGAAAAAGCACAGAAGGCTTCAGCTTCATTTTCCTTTTTGGGAGATGTTTAGGATATGAACTATTATTTTAGCACAAGAAGCAATACTTGAAGGAAGACAGTGCACATTATGTTCAGACACTGGATTATGTTTTTGCAAATGAATAACTAAGGTTCATAATACTTTTGAATGCATAGGGCTTTTCAAGCCCTTAAACTTTTCACCTCGACAACAGCACTGCTGGATACGTTGCTAATCTACCTGTTTCATAAATGGAAGGCTTCCACTAAAAGGCAATGATCTGCTGTGGTTGCCAAGAAATCCAAGCGATAAAACTTCCTTCCCAGCAGGTAGTTAGGATTCCAGAACTGAAGAGATGATAAACTTCAGAACAAACCCAAGATGGCTTTCTACTGTATGCAACATCTTGCTAAGTTTCCCTTCCATTTCCTGTGTAATTCTGCTCCTTGCCCCAGCCAGATTTTAGAAGCCAAAAGTTGGCACCACTTATATCTGGGCATTAAGATAACAGTGTCTTGAAATAAAGTTTTCATCATTCATATTGTATGTCATTCTAATTTATGGCAACACTATCAAAGGGCTTTACTGGTAAGGTTTATTCAGAGGAAATTAGTCACTGTCTTCCTCTAAGAGTGAGACACTGGAGTTGCTCAAAATCACTCAGTGGATTTCCATGGCTGAGTTGGTATCCAAACATTGCCTCCTTGAGTCTTAGGACTTTGTGCCATAGGGTGGGGTGGATCAGGGAAAATTGTCTTCTTAGTGTGGTGTTTTGTGTCACTTCATCACCAAAGGATCTGGAGAACTTGCTTACCCCCATCACACGTGTTTTCCTTCTGTTTCTGCAGAAATCATATTGGGTTTTTTTGCCATCATACTTTTTTTACACAAAAGACAACTTCTCAATTTCAATACAGCAGTGGTTCTTAACCTGTGGGCCACAAACCACCAGTGGACTGAGAGGAAGAAAATCTGGTCTGCGAGCCTCCTTTCTCTTTATTTATTAATTTTATCAAAATTATTTTATTTCCACTCCTTTCGTACTGCCTGCCACTCTTTCCCTGTCACTGCACATGGCATATGTTCTGTATCAGAAACAAGAGCTGGTGTGGTCTATCCAATAAACATTTTCCGAATCAGCACCCCAAACTGAATCTAAAGTTAAAAACTGATTCATAACCCTTTTGGTACTAATGTTGGAGAGTGGTCCCTGGTCAAAGTAGTTCCTCATCAAAGTGGTCCCTGGTCAAGGTGGTCCCTGGTAAAAAAAAAAAAAGTAGGGAACCACTGCTATACAGCAAAGGGCCCTTACTTCGCCATTGCAATTGCCCATTGTAAAAAACAAAATTTTGAGGTGTATTTAAGGACCACCCACAGGAAAATGTCACAAAAGAGAAAGAACACGGGAAAGGAAAACAATTCCCATCATACCTTAATTCCACCATTTCAAACCATCTCTATGCATAGGGAACCATCTGGAGTCTATTCCCAAGCATCTTTAAAATCCTTGCGTTTCTACATACTTAAGAAACAGGCTCTAATGGGGAACCCATGGAATGGTCTTGCATCATTTGATGGCCTCCGCAGGGCTCTTCTTTTTAAGTGTATAGAAACGCTTGGAGAGGCACAGTGGGCTGAAGTACTTAGTCCAGCATTCAACCACTGAACCACACTGGAAGGAATAAATATCATGGGATTGGGAGAAAAGAATTTAAATTATGTTCTATGGCCGAATGGAAATAGTAACCCAGACTTCTTTGATCCAAGGTCTAATATGCTGTCTACTGTAATCTAATGTACAGCCAGCCCTCATTTTAATTAGGGTTAGAGGTGCAGGAACCCTACAAAAGTGGAAAAATTGCAGCCCCCCCCCCCCCGGTTGTGGCATGAACAAAGAATGTACACTTGACTGCCAAGTCCTACATTTGCTACTCCTCTCCCAAAGACTGGGACCATGTACACATTCACAAGTTAGCCCCAGCTTTAAGAGGTGGACCAGTGGGGAACCCTCACTTCCTGAGGCTGGGGCTGCTGTGTGTATGTGCACATGCCCCAGTATGAATGGTACTCTCGACAACACGGGGGGGGGGGAGCTGTACAGGGAGGAGCTTGAGCTACTTAAGAAGCAAATACAAGCTTCTGGTTAATCAAAATTGAGAATGTAAAACCAACAGATATGGAAGGCCGACTGAAGAGCGCAATATTCTTATTCATGGGGTTATGTACCTGAACTTACTGCAGAAACAGGAAACTGAATAATAGTAAAATCTATTGAAATGAATTGCTTCTGGAAGTTACCATAGAGTTGCCTTGGAAGACCCAGTTTAATGGCATAGAACTGCATTATAGGAGCCTACACTGAACAATAATGCTGCTTCAAACTGTGTTATATGGCAGTATAAATGGGGACATGGTCTCTAACGATCTCAATCTGCCCAGGACAGTCCCAATTAATTTTCTGTAACCCCACTTTTCCAGCTAATTTTACAATGTCCCAGTTTCTTCCTCCTCCTTTTCCTCCCACTTTCTCCCTTTGTGTTCAGCAGGGGGGAGAGGGGAGAAAGGAAAAGAGTGCTGAATCATGTCCTTCCTAGTAGGTTCAGGAAAAAGCAAACTGCTGTAGCCTTTCCTGATATATATGTGTATATCTATTCTGATAATTACTCTAAAAGTGAAAAAAAATCTGGTATTCAAAGTGTTGAACTCCACTAAAATAGGTTCAGTATATTTGTTGCTATGTACATTCAGGCTGGCTCCAGCTTATGGTAACTCGATGGGTTTTCTTGCCAAGATCTCTTTAGAAGAGGTTTACCATTGCAGTGAGACTTACCCAAGATCATGTACTGGATTTCAATGGCTGAATGGGGATTTGAACCCTAGTGTACTGGAGTCCTAGTCAAACACTCAATCCACCACACCACACTGGTTCTTCCACATGAAGAGCAGCTTTTCTACAGTTCATACTAAACCATTCACCATCTAAGAGACAAGGAAGCCTCAAACACCTGGCTTGAAAACAGTATATGTGACATAAATTTAGAGTCTTGGGATACTTCTATACTGGCCATTTAATGACATTTCAAACTGGGATTAAATAAAGTGGTTTTTCTGTACATTTTTTTCATATCAGGAGTGACTTGAGAAACTGCAAGTTGCTTCTGGTGTGAGAGAATTGGCCATCTGTAAGGACGTTGCCCAGGAGACACCAGATGTTTTTGATGTTTTGCCATCCTTATGGGAGGCTTCTCTCAAGCTGGAGCTGACAGAAGGAGCTCATCTGCACTCTCCCCAAATTCGAACCTCCAACCTGTCGGTCTTCAGTCCTGCCTGAACATTGCACCATCATCTGTGCAGATGATTATATGGGAAATCCTGGAACTTATTTGAGGCCTGGATAGTGATTTGACAAACTGCAGAGCACTGGTGCATATTAAGGGCTTTCTTTGCATGTTTTTGTGTGAGTTTGTTCTCTGGGCAGTATAGTTTGAATCTAGTTTCATACTGCATTAACTGGTTAATGTAGATGGCATACATTCAGCTGTATGCAAAAAGCTGGATGTGAATCAACAGTGTGATGCAGGAGCAAGAAAAGCCATGTGATTCTAGGCTGCATAAATGGAAGTATAATGTCTAGTTCAGGCATAGGTAAACTCTGGCCCTCCAGGTATTTTGGATGTCAACTCCCATAATTCCCAACAGCCTAGGAATTGTGGGAGTTGAAGTCCAAAAAACCTGGATGGCCAAAGTTTACCCATGTCTAGATCAAGGGAAATAATAATATCACTCTATTTTGCTTTGATCAGACTTCACGTGGAATATTGTGTCTAAGTCTGGGCATCATAACTCAGAAGGATATTTGACAAGCCAGACAATGTTCAAAGAAGGGTGAAATTGTGAAAAGATCTGGAAATGAAGCCCTATAAAGAGTGGCTTAGGAAGTGAATCCCTATGAAGAGTGGCTTAGGGAGTTGTGTATATTTAGCCTGGAAAAGAGAAGATTTTTTCTGCTGATCTAGAGACTAGGACAGAGAGTGATGGAACTGAACTGCAGGAAAAGAGATTCCACATAAACATTAGGAAAAAAATCCCAATGGCAAGAGCAGTTAGACAGTGGAATATGGTGCCTTGAAGTGCAGCGGAGTCTCCTTCTCTGCAGGTTTTTTAACAGAACCGGCGGTGGTGTCAGATTGTGTATTCCTGCATGGAGGAATGAGGTTGGACTGGATGAGCCTTGTGATTTCTTCTAACTCTAGGATTGTATGATGGATGCTTGGCAGCTGCTAAATCCTATGTAGAATGTAAGGTTTCAATAGCACAGAAAGGTAATTTAATCAGTCTCAGCTTGTTATACTAACTTGTTGCAATACTGAAAAAATTCATAGTCCTCAAAACCTTCCGCCTTCCATGCTACCATTTTGGATACAGGAGTCTCCTATTCCCAGAAGAATGAAACAAGATGGCACAACTTTAGAAAGCGGAAATAGGTGTACATT